CACCCAACCCTGAGAGAAGTTGGGAGGATGGTGGGGACAAGTAAGTGGCAGGACCCTGTCAGGATTGCAGGTACCTGGCTCGCAGTGGCTGTGGGAATCAGCTGGTGGCTAGGGTTCTAGCGCATTTGATTTCTCCAGGTTTGGTGTGTCTCACAGAGGCAGTAGGAACCCAATTGACAGGGCTGTCTTAGTGGAGGGGCCTGCAGGACACAGGCTCAGCCTGCAGGACACAGGCTCAGCATGCAGAAGTGCATGAACGGGGTCCCTGGATCAGGGTTGTTCTGGGAGTTCTCTCAGCTGCCCCAGGAGCTCTCTGCTGAGCAGCCCAGCACGACCCCCAGGAAATACAGATGGGGTGCAGGTCACCAGCTGACTGCACACAGCTAGGCATGCCTGGGGATCCTGCTGCCAGAGAACCATTCTCAGGCCATGGCATGCTCCTTGAAGAATTCTCTCTCTCTCTTTCTCTCGCTCTCTCGACCCAACTCTCTCACTGCTGTCAGGCAATATTTTAGAACCACAAGAGATCAGCGGTGGCAGGACCCTTAGGGATCTAGTACAACCTTGTTGCTTTAGGTGAATCACAGAAAACGGGGCTTGCCCTAGGTCACCTAGCTGGTTAATGGCAGCATTCAGAACTTCAAGTTCTCTTCATTTCTTTGTTCCTGTTGTCCCCCAAGAAACTAGTATCTCTGACCTCCTGGGGCCCATTCTGCATGTCCTCCTCACTCCCCCCGATTCCAGAGACTTAGAAACAACAGAGTTGATACATAAGATTGAAACCATTCCAGTAGGAAATCAGGCAGTTTGCTGTTGAAAGTTGTCTGGCTTTTTGCATGTGAGTATGATCCGGGACTGGCCTGTGTCTGGCCCCTCTTTGAGGGCTACTCAGCAGTAGGCAGGCCTTAGTAAGGCTGCTGCACACTTTTTGGTCTAGGTGAGAGTGCATAAAGGTTCTGGGGCTGAGCCTGATAATTCCCTCCACTGCCGCTATTTCTCCTTGGATGGCACCATCCACCTGGCAGGCTTGGGAACTCTAAGCTCAAGCTCTTGCTCATTTGTCATTTACCCTGGTGGAAGCTTCTTGCCCAGATAGAGATCTGAAATCGGTGGGAAGCAAGCAGGGATTGTACCTTGCTTTAGAGTAGATATGTTTCGAAAAGCAAAGTAGAAATTTTTTTAAATATAAGTTGTATTTTAAACATGTTAGGCTTTGTAGGTGAAGGACTTGTTTTGACTTAAGTAGAAGTAATATGCTCTCATTTCTTTGTAATGTAGATTTTCCTATTTTGAATGCTTAAAGCAAGGCATACCTGTTCTAGCAGGATCTGCCCACACCTCGGCCGTACATCTCTGTGAGAGGCCCCTCCAATGATTAGCTTTTGCAACATGGTCCAGTTTCTAGAGGGCACTAGAACTTTCTGTGCCAGGGCTGGCGAGTTATCATGGTGCCATCCTCCTTTCTATAGTTCCAGTTTAGCCCTTCCTTCCCTGCCTTTAAGGAGAAGAAATGTGGTGACATTTGAGATGATGGAAACTAGATCACCTCTAATGTCAGGTCAAGCTATTTCTCTGGATCTATGATTTTAAGATAAAACAGGCTGGTTCTGAGTTCTGGTAAGACAGAGACCCTGGTGGTAGTGGAAAAATCAGAAGCACAAAGGAAAACTCTTGGCCTCTGCTTTCTCCTGTAGCACACAGAAGAGGGAGCTGGCTAGATCTTTTGGTGGGGTCAGGAAACATGGGCTGAGCTTTCTAGTCTGAGTGTGGAGAAGGGTAACCTCAGCCACAAAGCTCTGTCAGGCATTGAGTGACAAGCCTCAGCAGCTGAGTGCACTCCTGGTGATGCTGGTTTTCCTTGAATACTGGCCCTGGGGCTATGGACGCATGGACTCATAAAGCTGTTGGCGCCCCTGGAAACCACCTGGGTTCAGCCTTTCCCACAGTAAGAGTTCTTGCCCTTCATACCCTCTCGCTGGATGGATGGTCCTTGATTGGGCAGGGAATTAATGACAGAATGAGCAGTCCCTAATGGTATTGGGCAGCTGGGAGTTTAGGCAGCTTCTCTGTAACCGCTCCTGGGACCACACCTGAAAACTCTACACCCTCTGCCCCAGAACAATTCTGCAGAGTGGTGAAGTTCACTTTCCCAACTCTTCTCCAAGTCTAGCTTTTCTTTCCTTCTGGCTCCAAGGTGCTCTGTGTCGGTCTGTGTATGTGTGTGTCTGCGTGTCTCTGTGTATATTTGGGGAAAAGGGCAATCAGCAATCAACTGAGGTTTCTTAATTGTGATTATATTCCTGAGAATGAGTAGGAAAGGAATAAGGATGTTATGATCGCCTGTGGATTCTGTCCATTCATTTCATGCTCTTTGAACAGAAGGTATACCTGGGAAAATACCAGCTTTTTCTCTCAGGGTTCTGAGTGAGAGGACACCATCCAAGAATGTTGTTAGCTTTTCAGTTCCCACTCTGCATTGCCTGAAGAAATTGGTATGTTGCACGTATGCTTTTGGTTGAAATTGAACATATTCTAGTGAATGTGCCTTAAAAATCACGACACTAGTTCAGAGGAAGCACATAAGGTCCAGACCTATGGCGAAGACAGGTGTTGGAAGACAGGACTGTGATAGTCAGAAGCTATAAGAGAACTTTTGGAGCCTGCAGGACATTTACCTCTTAAATAAACTTAGCATTTAGAGGTAGTTCTAAATTTAACAAGTGACAGGGTTGATTTGAAAGAAAAAGGTCCATGCTTTGCTTACAATGGAGTCTGCAGTGAGGGGAGATACTGAGATAGCCATTTCTATGGCTCTGTTATGAAAGCACAAATTCCATCTCCTAGATGGACTTCCTGGTTTTCTCCTACTGCAGTAACACTGGCCTTCCCTTCTCTAATTCCTTACCCCAGCTGCGGCATCCCTGTGTCAACCCAGGATGCCAAGTGGCCCTCAGATTACGCTTCTCCAGATAGCTGAATGAGTCTGCTTTCACTGTTACTGGGACCTGAATGATCTGCAGTCAGGGCCCAGAGTTGGGACTCTATACTACCCTGGGCTCTGGTGTGTAGGCTTGTAGTAGCCACCAGTAATAAGCCAAGGGCTGGGCTCTTGTTTGAGTTTATGGCCACCTGGAATTTTCTGTCATCTCAGGATACAGTTGGGAGGGGCAGAACAGACATTATGACAGGTTTGGTTTTTAAAATTTCCAACCAAGTTTGAAAAGGCAAGTTGGTCTTATAGAAAGCACTGCTGCACTGAGTAGCTATGTGATTTTGAGCAAACCATGTAATCTCTCTAGGTCCATTTTCCTAAACCACAAGATGAAGATGTTACATTGTCAAAGCTTGCTGTAGGATTCGGGGTGAATGAAAGTTACTCCGTGCTTTCATCACTACCTTTATAGCTCATTACTGTGCCTTTTTTTCTTTCCTAAGACATCACATCCCTCTCCTCTGTGCTCCTGTCCCTCCCTCCCCCTAGCAAGGTCCAGGCAAAGCTGGAGATGAGGCTGAGATCCAGATTTTCTTAGAAGGCAACTTAGAATGGCTAGGAAAGGGAAACCTGACTGCTTGGTCAGGAGGGTGCAAGATCTCTTGCTGGGAACACAGCCAGTTTTCACGATGCCTAGAATGTGTGTGTCTATTTGCACAAGTTGTCTTTTCCTATTTTGGAGTGGTCAGACATTTATTTTTGTTCAAGATTATCTGGAGTTTTAGACAAATTTACAAAACTGTGCTTTTATTAAGTGACTTTTTGAATAAACTTCTTTGGTATTCTGGAGCAAATGTATTTATTTATTGGTATGTGCAATGACAAACTTGGTATTTTCCCATGTTGACATTACGTATGTTGTAGAATTTAGTGTTTGTCTAAGTACAGACATATATCAACAAATTAAACTTGAATTGTTTCAACATTTTCGTGTACTTTTTTCATAAAAGGGGGAAAAAAGCCCTGTTTACTTCCTTTTTTCTGTACCTTTCATTCATTGTTTCCTAGGAGCCTCAGGTGGGTAAGTAGGTGGTAATAGCAAAGAGGTCATAACCTCACCGATGACATGCAGGTCAACACTGTCCTCCCTCTGGCTGTCCCTTTCAAGTTTAAGGTTCATCAGAACCACACCCAGAGACTGGAAAAATGGTGAAGTCAGAAGGTTCTTAGGTTAGAGCAGTTCTCTTCAGGGTCTGCTGTGCCACCTGAAGCGGCTGGTGGTTCCTCAGTATCCCCTGTGGGCCTGGCCTTTAGAAGAGAACAGGGCTGTAGAGATGAAAAAGGTACAAAAGACCCAACCACTTGATTTCTCTGGGCTTGCTTGGACCCTAACCCATTTAAACAGGACTTAGACATGCTTAGGAATCTTTTTTGTTGCAGGGCAGCTGTGGCAGATTTGACAGATTTGAAACCAAAAAGGAAGGCAGGCTATAGTGGTAGCTAGAAGCAGACATGAAAGCTAATGGTCTGACCCAGAGAGGAGGTTATAACTAAAGGCACCCAGAGGCTGCAGAAGGGCCCTGCGCCACTCCTGGCAGTCAGGGTAGCCTTAGAGGGTGTCAAGTGTGACATCTCAGCAACACTGGACTTGGTGGTGACGGTGATCATGCTGTCACCAAGCACCTACCATATGCTTTGCCCTGGCACATTTTATAAACAGCATCTTATTCAATCCAAACAGCCCTGTAAAGACAGCATTTCCCAATTCATGGGGAAACTGGTTCTCTGAGAGGTTAAGGAATGACCTAAGAGGAGAAATTTGGCCTATTTTCTTTGTATAAAAAAAGGGAAATGAACAGGAAGCACATTTTAGAAAAGTCAATGGTCAAGGCAAAGTCATAAATGTATTCATGTTTTTTTCTCAATATTGCTGAATAGCTAAAGTATTAAATGTTTCTTTGGAACACAAATAGTCCAGATTGAAGGGAACTTTGAGAGTAGGGTAATAAATAAGGTTTGTTTATTCCCCCAGATCTAGAGTTCTGAGGTGACCAAGGGCATTTCCTACCTGAACCATGGCCTATCTCCTGTGGCCTCTGCCTCTGCCCCTGGTGGGAAATAGCATATACAGGATATTCTAAAAAGGAAAGAGGGTTTTGTTTGTTTAGTCAGCAGGTTGAAAAATCTTAGATGGCTATAGACAGAGGTGGCCCTATGTCCAGGATAGTCTTAGTTTATGCCTATCACCTTGGCATAATTACATTAAAGCTCCCTTTTTCCAAGGTGTTTGCATTTGGACCATAAGTTATTTGATCACCCAAGCCATATAAGGTGCAGAGTATGGTTCTCAAAGGCCACTGCTTCTACAGGCCAAATACACCTCCACTCCTCAGCACACCTCCCTGGGCTCAGCTTCTGGAGCTAGTCATGGAGATAATGAAATGGTTTCTTTGTGCTCCCGTTGTGACCAGGAAAGAGGATCTCCTGGCTGCACTACCCACCTGATTTATCAAGAATGATCCCAGATTATGCAGTTGTTTTGTGGGCTAACTGTCCATAGAGGTATGACTTGTTTACTCTGCCACACTGCCCAAAGGCCAGGGGACTGATCAAGTTCCCAGCCCCCTTGTTGTGAGAAATGAAGACCGCAAGAAAAGAAACAGCAGCCCTGGCAACAAAAACCAGTCCCATGATTTTGTCATCCTGGGTTGTATACACACATAACTATCATCCCTGAAGGATAAAATAATTCTGGAAAATCCAAAAAGAATTGTCTGAATTCTAAATAACTGAAAGGTACATCCAAATGTCTGATATATACATACACAAATATATTCCTTATATATAAACCAACCAAGAGCTAGGGCAGGAAGAACTACCATAAGGGCTTAGTACTTCTGGCAGGAATTTCCATAAGCCAATTTTCCCCAAAGACTAACAACACTTTACATAACAGCCTCATCAAAATACTTGAACATCCATGTATTTTCACACCTACTGCTTTTTTCAACATCTCTTTCTGCCAAGAATGTCCTCTCTTCTTTGCCCACCTGAAGAAGTTCTTAGCATGCCTCAAGGCCCACCTCCCAGGAAACTGAAGTGTCTTGGAAATACTTTAGCAAAAACAATTTCTCTTTCCTGTAGTTTTGGGCCCATGTCTGAATTACAGCATAGCCCTTATAATAAAAACATAATTACCACTTAATGAGTGGTTATCATGTATGAGCTAGAACCAATGCTGTTTTACACACACACACACACACACACACTGATTTCATTTAACCAGAACTTTTAATACTCTTCCCTTTACTACCCTGAAGCCAAAGCTCAGACCAGTTAAGGAGCCGATCCAAGATTCCACAGCTAGAAAATGCAGGGACAGACCATGGCTCATGTTTCTCTGCCTGCAGAATTCACAATCTTGAGCCCTCTTATAGAGTCATAGTTCATTTTATCTGTCAGCCTCTCTCTCATTATATTGAGTTTTTTGAGAGCAGAAATTGAGCCTCTGTTCCTAGTACCTAGCACTGAGCAACTGACTGCTAAATGAATGAATTAGCTACAAGAAAACAGAAGTATTTATCTCTAATAAGGGAATCATATCCTAGGGCAAAAAGGAAATCTGAGCGAGGAACCCAGAGCTCTCCTCATAAATCAACCCCTCATAGTAAACGAAGGGAAATAACAGAGAACAATTTATCGAAACAGTAAAGAGCACCTGTTATTTTTCACCTTTAGTGTACATCTAGATTGCATTCAATACATTTTAAACTGCATTCTTTACAATGTGAAGCAAATGTTCTACACAGAGATAGATGCAATATACTTTCATAAATTCAGTCTTGAATGACTTTTCTCTGTAGCTCAATTAACAATAAATGCCTAGTAGCTGACAGATTATCTTACTATGATCCCATACCTTCTAACAGCAGTCTGTATGCTGATGTATGATTTTAAACTATTTTCCCGGCATCTTACTCATGCCAAGCATAATGTAACTCTAAAAGCCATATCTACCTTTACATAATTTCTTAATTTTCCAGTCTTCTACATTTCATGACTGGGAATGTCTTTGGGAATGTGCCCTCTTCAAACTCTCAGGTCTTACATGTAAACTGAATTCACACATACTTCATGATGTAATTCATGGGTACTATCTTGTCTCAAGACATGTGTCAGATGCAGTAAGGAGAAAAGGCCTTTAGTTTGGTCAAAATCTCCCAGGCCTAATCTAGTTGCGACTTTCCCCAGCTCTCTCAAAAAACCCAAATATCTGAGTATGGAACATATGGTCTCTACCCCTGGGCGCTGCTACATTGGTTCTCTGCAACAGACATACTCCAACTTCCCTGTTGAGTTGGCACTTTGTATACAAGATCAGTTCTCATTTCTGTTTCAATTTATGTGCTTTTGAGAACAAATTTCTCAAAGGGTGCAACATTCAGAAACAGCTTTAGGTAAGGACTGTCCATAAGCGCACAGATTCTCTCCCCAGTTGCTGGCTTCCTGGCCTTCTGAGCTCCTCATGGCAGGAGCAGAATTCACAATCTTGAGCCCTCTTATAGGGCTGCAGCCTCCTCATGGCAGGACCATCCCTGGGCAGGCCTTCCTACAGCTTCAATGGCCTCAAGTCTTGTCTCTGCAAGGCAGGGTCTAAAGTCTTTATCTAAAGCTTCCTCTGTCCACTGAAAACCAGGAGTGCAAAGGTACTTCTGGGTTTGGCAGTTCTGTTAAGCAGAACAGGGGTCAAGGAAGCTAGATATCCAGGCAGTATCAGAGTAAAACAGTCCCCAAACAAGCCTCTGGGCTCATTCTCAGATCAGTGGGAGTCTTCCCTACTCTGGAGAAAAGAGGACGTTTGAGGCAGCATCAATGTTCCTAGGAAGACCCTCACTGCAAAGAAGAGGCTTCAGCTCAGAGAGCAGTCTTACCCTGCTCTGGGCCCAGCCCCACAAATAAAATGTTCTCTTTTCCCCAGGGGACTACTAACCTGCTCAAGGCCCAAAGAATAAGGCATCTTGGAGTCTGAAATCTTCATTCTTGCAACCTTAAGTCCTCATCATCTGTAAGCTGATGTTCGTTCACAGGTGAACTATCTGTTACACCTACCAGGAAGAGTCAGACCTTTGCCCCTGAGTGGTTCCATCTGTAACTACAATAGACCAAACATAATTACTTAATGGATCAACTTCTCTGATAGGGGAAAGGCAGAAAGAGAAAGAGCAAAGCTGTCCTGTGTTCACACTAATGTCCATGTTTTACAAGGTGACAGGTGTGTGAGCACCAGGAAGGATACATGATATCCGTGATAGTGGCCTGATAGCTATGACACTTGAACACAGTGAAGAAAGTACAGGGCACAGGGCCAAGAAGGAAATCTGAGGAGAGAAAGGTCACCTTGGGACTTGAGTAATGGATACTTCAGACTGGCTGTTTTCACTCTAAACCCTGGGGGTTACGCTTCCTCAGCATGCTGCCTGTATATGCTTTATCAATGTTGATGCCCAACCCTTCATCTCTAAAGTCCTGGGACCACTCTTCTTTAGTGGTTTCCTCTTGCTCAAGGTAGCTATCTGCATTGAATCCAGCATTCTCTGCCAAGACAGCAGGATCCTCGTCTTCATGAAAACAGCAGGAACATGTTTCTGGCTTTGGATCACACGAGGTGACAGAATTATCTTCCTGGGCTCTGGGGTCAGTGGGCAGACTTTCCCAACCCAAATGATCTGATTCTTCCTCTTCTATCACTCCCATTCTCTCAGCTGTTTCTTCAGCAGAAAGCTCTTTTGGGTCAGGGTAATCCACCAAAATTGTTTCTTGCCTACGCTTGATACACTCTGAAAGGTCATAAATTGGGTAAGTCTCTTCAGGGTAACCTAGAGAGAAAAGTAGCACAAAGTATTACAAAGAATGTCTCCTCAAAAAAAAATAGTGTCAGGTTCAAAGAGGATTCTCAGGCAGCAGCCATCTTATCCTAATAGATCCATTGAAGACATCTCTTAAGATTCCAATAGTTCTAAAGTTTCACTTGAGCAAATTCTTAGCAATCTGGCTGACTATCCCAATGCTCTGAAATACAAACCAATTCAGATGAAAACCCCTTCTTATGTGTAGGGTGCTTGGGGCAGAGTTAAGTCTTATACCACGTGTTTTTGCAGTACTGATAAAGATTAAACAAACAACGTGAGCCTTTAGTTTAAAAAAAAAAAAGGCATCAAATATCAGAGCACGGCTCCAGGCTAATGTTTATAATTTCTATTTGGAACAATTTCCAAATCTTCCTTGGTGAAGGGGGGAGAGGAAAGGAATGCTAAGCTCTTTGAAAAATACCCCATGAAGCTTTCTATTTATCAAAACAATTGAAATGGCTTGCAAGTGTCAAAAATAGCACTTTAGCAAGACATGCCCAAGATCCCGAAGGACAAGCACTGCATTTTTGGAAGACAGAATTCCTGTTGGCTTCTTCCTCTTCACAAAATGGAACAAAAGAAAACAACAAACTGGTAAACAAAATGAGTAACACTGGTACTGAATCCCAGCTAGGATAATGAGAAAAGAGAAACTGTTGCCAAATTACCAAACGAAATGAAATAAATCTGTGTCAGCCAAGCAAGCCTGAGCAGCAGATGGGCCGTGCTGGAGCTCACACACCAGTACTGGCACCAGCGGCAGTGATCACGATACAGTGCAGAAAGCTGGAGGATTCAGAACCCATTTGCCCATTATGATAATTGGCAAATTCAACCCTAACGTAAACCACTTTGTGCCTACAAACTGTGACAAATAAGTCTTTTTTGGTGCAATGTAGGGTGTGTGGAGACATTTCTACATTCACTGCTTCTTCTGACTATAAAAATCATACAGACTCATTTGTAGAAAATTTGGAAAACATACAGGCTAATTTAAAAAAGAAAACACAAATCACCCATATCATCACTCATAATAATTTGCTTTTTTCCGGCCTTTTAACCATATAAAACATGTCTTTTCTGTTTCTTTTTTTCTTTTGAGGCGGAGTCTCGCTCTGAGACCTGCCCAGGCTGGAATGCAGTGGTGCAATCTCGGTTCACTGCAACCTCCACGTCCATGGTTCAAGTGATTCTCCTGCCTCAGCCTGCTGAGTAGCTGAGACTACAGGTGCATTCCACCACACCTGGCTAATTTTTTGTATTTTTAGTAGAGACGGGGTTTCACTACGTTGGCCAGGCTGGTCTCAAACTCCTGACCTCAGGTGATCCACCTACCTCGGTCTCCCAAAGTGTTGGGATTACAGGCATGAGCTACTGCGCCCAGCCAACATGTATTTTCTTATTCCCTTTTTTAAAAAAGAAGGATATTTGTGCATAAAAGGTTATATCCTGATGTTTTTCAATTCAACATTATATCATGAGCATCTCTCCATGTCATTAGGCATTTGAAAGCTGGCTGCAAAACACCTCATCATATAGCTACATAACTGACATGATTTACTAGTCCTCTTTTCTAGGACATTTAGATTCTTTCCAATTTTCCTCTATTATAAGTAGTATACAAGTTAAGATCTCTTAATGTAAGTCTATGTCCACTTCCTTAATTCTTTAAGTAGATTTCTATAAATATGAAAACTAGACCAAAGGGAATGGACATTTTAAAAGTCTTTTCTATACTCTGCCAAATTCCTTTCCAGAAGAGTGGTATAAATTTTCAATCTTACCAGTGATATAAAGACTGTCCATCTTATCACACCCTCACCAGCACTCACAGTAGTATGTTAAGAATTTTGCCAATGCAGTCTTTATTCCAAGGCTCAACTTACTGTGGATGGAATGCTAGGTAAAGTGGAGCTTAGCTACCCAAGACCCTCAGCCTCCATGGTCAAGGACAGGAGCTGGAAAAGCTGCTTGCTAGTCAGCTCCCAGCCACTGAATGCTTAAAAGAAGTCCATTTGCTGGCATGTCCCTGCCTTCCCACACCTAGAACAAAGCTTACCTTTGAATTTTCATGACTATCTGCTTTAAGAGGGAAGGCCACCCAGATTCAGGCTCTCAGCCTACCCCAACACCAGGCCTCAGTCCAGCTCTGCCTCCCTAGTCATAATGCCTGTACCCACAAACCCAGCCTCCATGCTGGCCCCTGCAGATACAGACTCCGGGCCTACCAAGCATCAGGCCAGCAACTATGGCCCCATAATCCAGTCCCACCCTAGGTTCCAGACAAAACCAGAGCCAGGTCTGCCCGTGTAGCCCCAATGCCAAATTGGCACCCCTAACTTCAGTTACCAGGCCAGCACCTGCAGACACAGACTCTAGGCCTGCCCAGTGCCAGGCTAGTCTCTATGACCCCCGCTACTTTCAGGTTGGCCCCTGCATTCCCACAATCCAGCAGACCCTGGGTCTAGGCCAACCCAGTAGACCCTAGCATTGGGCTGGCCCTCAGAACCCCAGGACTGCCCCTACGGACCTAGGTTCTAGGCTGGGGCCTGTGGCCCCAGGACCCAGGCCAGCCCTAATGGACCTAGCCTCCAGACACATCCATCAGACTCAGACTCCAGGCCCATTTCAGTGGACCCAGGCACCATGTTCATTCTAGCATCTGGCCAATCTCTGAAGTCCCAGGCTCAAGGCCCAGTCCAGCCCCAGGTCAGCCCTTGCGGACCTAGGCTTTGGGATAGCCTCTCCGCACAAGATACGAGCTCCAGGTCCATGCCTGAGGATTTAATCAACAGGTACACCCCAGGGGATCCAGGATTCAACCCCAACCCCATGGACTCAGCACCAGGCCACCCTGCCTAAGGACTCTAGCAGCAAGGCCACCTGCAGATCACAACAAATGGCCTATCCAGAATCTCTGGGCATGCTGACTGGTGAATGGCTTTTCCAGACAAAGCCAGTATGCAAAAACCATTCACCAGCATAAGTCCCTGCTTCTTCAAATGCACAGACACCAATGCATAGCCATGAGGATCAAGAACAATCAGGGAAACATGTTGCCACCAATGAACAAAATAAAGCACCAGGAACAGACCCTAAAGAAATGAAGATATGCCTGGGCGCGGTGGCTCACGCTTGTAATCTCAGCACTTCAGGAGGCCAAGAGAGGTAGATCACCTGAGGTCAGGAGTTCAAAACCAACCTGGCCAACATGGTGAAATCCTGTCTCTACTAAAAATACAAAAAGTTAGCCGGGCATGGCGGCAGGTGCCTGTAATTCCAGCTACTCTGGAGGCTGAGGCAGGAGAATTGTTTGAACCCAGGAGGCAGAGGTTGCAGTGAGCCGAGATTATGCCATTGCACTCCAGCCTGGGCAACAAGACAAAACTCTGCCTCAAAAAAAAAAAAAAAAAGGAAATAAAGACACATGAACATGAATTGCCTAACAAAGAATTCAAGATAACTGTTTTAAGGAAACTCAGCGAACTTCAAGAAAATACAGAGAAACAATGAAAGGAAACCAGGAAAACAATAAATGAATTAAAAAATTTACAAGAGATTGAAATTATATATAAAAAATCAAATAGAAATTCTACAGCTGAAAAATATGAGAAATGAAATGAAAAATGCAATAGAGAGTATCGACAGCAAAACTGAGCAAAAGAATGAACCTTTGAATCTAAAGACATTATTTGACAATATACAGTTGGGTGAGAAAAAAAGAATGAAAAGAAAGAAAGCTTATGGGATTTATGGGGCAGCTTATGGGATTTATGGGAACTGGAGTTCAAGAAGGAGGAGAGAGAGACAAAAGGATAGAAAGTTTAAAGAAATAATAGCAGAAAACTATACAAATCTGGGGAAAGTTATAAATATCTGGGTACAGGAAGGTCAAAAGTCTCCAATCAGACTGAACTCAAGTAAGACTATATCAAGAAGTATTATAATCAGACTATCAAAAATAAAAGAGAGGATGCTGGAAGCAGCAAAAGAAAAAACGTAGATCACATATAAGGGAGTTCTAACAGATTTATCAGCAGAAACCTTAAAGGCCAGAAAAGAGTGGGAAAATATATTCAAAATGCTTATGGAAAACAAAAACAAAAAAAAGGTCAACCAAGAATATTGTAGTTGGCAAAGTTCTCCTTCAGAAATGAGGAAAAAACAAACACTCTGCCAGACAAAAGTTGAAGGAGCTTATCCGCACAAGATCTATCTTATAAGAAATGCTCAAGGGTGTTCTTCAAGTAGAGAGCAAGGGACACTATTTAGTAACACAAATATATATATGAAAGTATAGGGTGGGTACAGTGGCTCACGCCTGTAATCCCAGCACTTTGGGAGGCTGGGGTGAGTGGATCACCTGAGGTCAGGAGTTCGAGACCAGCCTGACCAACAAGGTGAAATCCCACCTCTACTAAAAATATAAAATTAGCTGGGCGTGGTGGTGCATGCCTGTAATCCCAGCTACTTGGGAAGCTGAACTGAAAACTATAAAATTTTGATGAAAGAAATTGAAGAAGACACAAATAAAATGAAAAGATGTCCTGTTTATGGATTGGAAGAATTGATATTACTAAAATGTCCATAGTATACAAAGCAATCTACAGATTCAATACAATCCCTATCAAAATTTCAATGACAATTTTTCACAGAAATAGAATAAACAATTCTAAAATTCATATGGAACCACAAAAGACCCCAAATGGCCAAAGCAATCATGAACAAAAAGAACAAAGCCAGAGGCATCACAGTGCCTGATTCCCAAATCTACTACAAAGCTACAGTAATCAAACCAGTATGTTACTGGCATAAAAACAGACATACAGACTCATGGAACAGAATAGAAAGCCCAGAAATAAATCCACACGTTTACGGTCAATTTTTTTAAACAAAGATGCCAAAAAATAAAACATACACACATACACATAGGTCAAACGACAAACACAAAAAGGTCAAAGGACAAT